TTTTTGGCGTAAAACATCAGTTATATAGCTCATTGCTAAAACATTGCAGTGCGCGTCGCCAGATAATAGCCAAGATTGGTTCTTGAGTTAGTTTTTGGTTAGCGACTGTTTCGCGTTACGCCAGGGCAGAATATCTTTTGGCCAGAACTCAGTTCCACTCGGATGAAACAGCGGTGGACCAAAGGTTTCCGCAGCAAAAATGTTTTGCACTCCGAGATATGAAAAAAGGCTCTTTCTGTCCTACCGAACCACATCCAAATTCTTACCTGGGAAATCGATTAGCCTTTCCATAGACAACACCGAATTGTATGGGTGAACGATAACATCGCTGGTATCCTCGTGATTCGCAAACACAGAATATGTCTGTATGACCTTCTTTGGAAATCTAAAACGAGTTTTAGGTCTCTGCTTCAGAAACGGCAAACAACAAGACAAGAAAGATGCTGAAGAAAAGTAAAAAATCACACCTGTCTCGTATTTTCTCCAAAATTAGTGATCCCATACCAGATCCAGTTCCACCTGATACGGAATGAGTGAAAAGAAATCCGTCCATCTGATCGCTGTTTTCCGATTCACGTTCAATTATGTCCATGATTTGTTCGTACACCTCTCTGAAGCATATGGTGTGCCTTCCAGTTCACGAAACTGGATAGACCTTGAAAAAACATAGCAAAAATTTGCGCTGATGAAATGCCCTACCCGCCTTGTCCGTAACCGCTTGCCCAATTATTGCCGGCACCACCTCCATGCGTTGACATGTAAACGTTATCGGGATTGAAAAGTCTGCTGAAAATTCTCGCTGGTCATAATCCCATTGATCACTCTTGGTTCCAAGTCAACCAGAACGCGCGTGGGACATAGTGATCATCATCAGCCTGAGAACAAATCAGGTATAAAACCATTTTTGTAAAGACTGTTCAACGGCAGAACATGGCTAACCTGATAGAAAAAGACATCCTTGTTGTCATGTATGCTCTCTTCACATGTCATACGACCTCGCCTGAAACTCGACGATCATCATCAAATTTTCAACTGTTTGCAAATCACGCCATGCACTCGAAACTCTGCAGAATTTACTCAGGCAATTTCGCGATGCGCTGGCTAAGGCGGCTAGGTATGAGTATTAATAGCGTTATCGCTACCTCTTTCACTCTCCTCCGCAATCATCCGAGTCTTGCTACCTCACCGTGTACCCGTCTGTACCGCTTCCCACTTTGAGCGAAGTCGAACCCATTTCAGTTTAAAGCTCAGTAATGGAAATTATTTAGCGTGTCAGTGATCAACGTCGCTTCGCTTCCCTTCACCTTAGCTGGTTGCCTTACCAATCTGCCACGCAAGCCGAATTGGAACAGTAACATCTGAAGCTCACCACAGGTCGCAAAGTTTGGCTGAGATTCGATTCGACCGATCCTTTAGGCCGATGTTGGACTAGGCAGCGAATCGCGGGATACGAGCGTTGCGTAAGCGAATCAAGCTGTGTACCAGCGGTTCGAACGATGTACCAGCGACTCGACACAGTGTAAATGTGGCGAGGCTCAACTTCAGAATTGACTCTCGCCATTTGCCGGGCTTACGAGGGCAGAAGAGAGCGAGAGGGCATGAGGGCTCGAGAAGTACGAGAGTACACGGGACACCACGAGGAATCCTGCCACTTCCAAAAACGTGTCGAGACGCTTAACATCGTTTGATCCACGGCTATTAGTTCGCATCCTGCGTGCAAAGGCTCGCCACAGTCCGGAATGGCCTTAGAGTTGCCCTGGAGTTCACTAACGTAGGTTTTCCTTTTTCGTCCAAAAAAAAAAAAAACTGGTGAAATCAATGTAGCAACAGCTTAATGTTTATGGCGCAGAGTATGGAAGCAGATCGTCCTTCCCGTCGCTCTTCTTCAAGCTAATTGATGACCCCCTCGTGTCACTACATTTCTCCTATTTATCATACTGGAACTCGCCCGATAAATGGGAACGACATGTAGTAGTCAAGATTCTGTATGTATAAAAGTATACGCTTACACACAAGATGAAAAAATTTGCCTGAAGGAAGAGCTTTGAAAGGTTGAAGCTGTAAAAAGCATATCTCACGATCGAGCCATGATTGTCCGCAAAGGTAGATTATGCCCTCTTCCTGAAGTGCAAAGTACGGGAATGATGCTCCTCGAATTGCACTGAAAGTCGATCCAATTGTTCACAGCAAAAACGCGTGTACAATCTCACACATTCCTATGAATCGCTGATGTGTATCTATCACTCGCACATCGAGAGGCCTCTGTACGCAATCTGCCAAACGAAACCAAAAATTTGGAATTCTAGTTTTCCTTTCTTTTCCATCACTGTTGCTCCTTCCTGCTCCTCCACTTTCATGTCAATCGAAGCCCCACATTTAGAGATGTAGAACTTTCATTTACGACCTATTCGATACAAAACCCTTCGGAAGTGATGTCCTAATGTCAGACCGCTCCAGTATAATATATTAAAGGATTCTATAAGTGAGTACAGCGACCGTGAATAAGGATCCCTATCAATGAAAAGAAAGCGTCGAAAGGACTCGTACCCATCAATGGCGTGTTCGTCACAGAGCGTCTTCCAGAAACTCTGACCAATTTGGTTGCCACACTGGCCGACATGAATGGACATTAACTGACCCGTTGCATGAGATCGGAAAGAACTGTCCATAACTACCTCAATAACAGAAAGCTCACCGTTGCCGTGAAAGGTATTACAAACGAGAACACATAAATTACAAGACAAACTCTGTGATGAAATGCTTTATGGGAAATATGAACAACATCGGCAATAACAACGAACATTAACAATAACAATCAAAACTCCGTCACGCCACACTTGCTTTGGTAAACTCTTCGTAATTAGCTTCGAATTTTTCTCGTATACTTGCAAAAATCTGAAAATAAGATTTTTACGAAATGTCAAGGACTGAACCCATGTGGGCTAATACAAGAAGCATACCGTTTCTAGATGAGTAAGAGCTTCCAACAAAACGGATCCAGCTATAACACCTTTCTTGGTTTGTATCCGCAACAAAATTTTATCTTCTAGTGGATGTGGCACATTGTATCCAGCAAATTCAACATCTTTCCTGAAGTGGTTCCTTGACATCTATTAATTACTTTACCAACAGCATAAAACGCTTATATCAAATTGTTGACTCAAATCGAAGAAAGTTATTCTAAGTCTCACATTCGACAGAGTATGTGCTTCAAAGAATTTCCAATTGTATGATCTTCTTCCCGCAGTATAAGGGTTAGACAAGATGGATCTGTATTGTAACCTTCTTCATCAAGCTAGAAAAGGAAACAGTTAATCAATCAATAGGGATGATCAACTAAACATCAGTATGCCTAATGACTACAAGTTTTGAAAAGCCCCAAGCCATTTTCCAGGAGCCCAGGTTCTTCATCAGGAACAGATCGATTCTGCACTTAATAATGTAGTTTCAAAGTAAGCAAGACCACATGCTGAATGGCCACAGCGTCCTATTACCCGAGATGGATTGAAAAAGGAGAAAATTTAACCCAGCAGCTCGAAAAGTGTTACCTTTGGGAAACAACAGTTTGCAAAAAGGAATGAAATAAAAACAAGTCGGCAGGAAGGACCTTTCACAATATCTACTGCGAAACTCAGTCAAGACCATATGCTTCAAACGCAAAAACTCAGTGTGAATCGATTCCGAGCGGAGATACTCAGATCACTTTGCTCGTGACCTTCTGCCAAGTTGAGTTACAACAAATGTATTCCTCACACAAGACAAATGACACTTGAAGAGTCCACCGACATTGTCTGCTGTTGAAAACTTTGAGGATTTTAGGGATAATGCTGCAGCCGACTTGCATGATTTAGGGGAATGTAGCTCCCACAGAAGTTAACAAAATTGCAGACCCTATGTGGATTCCAGTCCTCAAACAAACATGGGATTGGAGCTAAAAGCAAGCTGACAGCAATGACAATTGACGTCAACTGACGTGTGCCAGAGACTCAACTCACGGAAAAGGCTCTGTAGAGAACTTCCTGAAGTCCCTCTTGAAAACAAATATTGAAATATATCAATTTTTGTCAAGCCATAACAAAACTGTGAACTTTGGTTTCACGTTCCAGCGTTATTTGAAAGAAAAGAAAACATTTATTTGCAAATATCCCTACCTAAATATGAAAGTTCCATAACCATTTACTACCCTAAGAGACTATTTAGAATAGTGAAGAAAGGCTCACAATTTCAATCTTTGGTTTCTCCATCGGTGGACGACGTCAAACAGAACAGTAAGTGGACAGACGACTGACTGAAATAGTGACAGACACGGTTGAAGAGTCCATCATAGGGCAGCTCGGTTCATAATCCGATAGCGTCCCACTGATGAACTGCTCAAACGAGTCGTTAAGCAGACGGGTGGACCAGCTAGTGAATACAAATTATGGTCCAACCCTCTTTTAAACAGTTTAGTGCACAAAACTGTAAACTATGCGCGCGGATCTCATTTCAGTTCGCATCAGGTGACAATCGCTACGCCGTTACAACAAACATATTAAGTCACAGTTCTTTCTGTCAACAAAACCTCACTAAATTTGTGACGGTTAACAATCGACGAAAGAATTATTATAGACTGCAGCTCATCACGCGGCACAAAAACAGTCTTCTACTACACTGTGAAGAAAAGGTAAAACGACCGCCAATTTCAAGCGATGTAATGCACACCTCACACACTTGCTCTACCGAGTTTGTAAATGTTTATCCAGTGGGCACATTGGAGACAAACAATGTGACGAGTTGTGATGGAAGGACGATAAACCGGCATAACGTTTGCAGAACATCAAAATAATTAAACCTCAAAAGGATAAAACTTGTACCAGAAACCAGAATATCGCTTCATAAATTTTTGAAGAAAAAAGGATGTTAGGACCGTAAAGTTATGGAGCAGCGTATGAAGAAATGAACACAACATTCAAATTTTAATTAGGGTTTCTGGTTGCATATCATAAAGACCGTCAATATCATCACTCCTCCTGACTTCTGCGAACGCATGCAGCCACTCGTTTCTTGAACTCGGAGTAGTTCTCCCGTTGCATTTTCTGGAAAATATATAAATTAATGTACAACTAAAAAAAAACTTGGGTCTCATCCGTAAGGGACATGGGGTTGACAGTTCTTGTACAAATTCCAAGTTTGCAAAGGGGAATGGAATCCGGTGCAGTGCGAGCGACGGGAGATTTACGAACTGATGGCGCCGAATTATCGGTGGTCGGCGGTGTAAATCTCCCGTCGCTCGCATCGCTCAAGCGATCCGTCGCTCCTGCAATTGGTGCAAAATCGCTCCAATCGCAAAGTCTGACATCGGCCACTGGATGAGACCCAAAACTTGATTGATAACGAATTTACCGCGGCATCAACATTGGCGGGTGACTCGAAATTGGGATCAGCTAGCATGGAGATAACCGACAACAGTATCGTCTCAACCGTGTGTACTGGAAGCCAACGCTCTTCAGGTCGCTCATAACCCCATCTGAAAATGCAAAATATGCAAGCAATTTTAATTCACAAAAAAAAAAACAATCAATCCACGCACTTATCATCTCCTGGATCGTGAAGAATGGAAATGCAAACATTCCCTTCCTTGTCAACTGAAAACATGAGTGACTTTTTCGAAAAGTGCAAACACAATTTTCTTCAGAGGACAATGCACCGAAGGAAGGAAAATAATAATGTAGCAATAAAACATCCAAGGGCACGCATTTATGGAAATACCACATTTCTCAGACGCAATTCTCGTATAACCCTAAGTGAAACAATTAGTAAATTAACACCTTGGAGCCCACGCAGCCCATATGTGGGCTGCAGTCCTCCGACCGCATAGGACCTTTCAGCTCGCATTTCGTAAACAAGTTATTAGGTTTTTCATTCATTTTCTTTTCCATTTTATCCGATAAGATTTCTTCTGCATTATTTCTTCTTTTGAATTTGCTAGATAAGATCCCTAAAAATTTCACCGAAGTCCCGCGCAGGCCACGGAATGGCCGATGTCAGAGTCTGCGATTGGAGCGATCGGTCAAATGCCAATCGCGCGACCATCGCGCGATTCGCGCGACGATCGCGCGATTGACATGAGTCCCATCATGACCAATCGCTCCAATCGCGCGATGGGCGCGATCACTCCCGTTGTGGCTGGCGCGCCCCTCTCGATCGATACGTTGACTGAGCTATCGATCGAGAGGGGCGCACCAGCCACAACGGGAGTGATCGCGCCCATCGCGCGATTGGAGCGATTGGTCATGATGGGACTCATGTCAATCGCGCGATCGTCGCGCGAATCGCGCGATGGTCGCGCGATTGGCATTTGACCGATCGCTCCAATCGCAGACTCTGACATCGGCCAATGTAAAACACGCGCGGTCTACAAATTGTTTGATAACAATTAAATTTGTAAATTGAATCAGCAGCACAAGTGCCTGTGTGCCCAGGCAAGCTTTGGTTAAGAAATACAGCGGCGAAAGATTTTCTTCTAGGAACTTCTAACATCGCCATTGAAAAGGTGACATGGGCATTAGAGAGGAGACCGTCACAACTGGCGCACTAACAACAACTCAATCCTCCATGACCATTACTCGACAATGCTGCGCGGCGTTCTCTATTCGCACACATTTACCTTTTCCCGTTCTTTTTTAAGCGTTGTGAACTTCAAAGGGAGGGGCCGGAGTGGCTTGGGACCCCTATCAACTCAATAATTATGACATCACGTTAGAGTAATACCTCAACACTAAAGTGGACTTTAGTCTTATAAGCGGTTGGCTTCCCCCTTTCTTCTCTTTCCCCTTCGAACTGACAGACAGACAAACGCTGAAACGCTACTCTATACGCTGAAAGCGCAATCGTCAGGCAGTAAGTAGTTTTGCGATCCCCCCTCCCCCCCCCAAGAAGATCGTCAGCTGGGCGATCCGGCAGCTATGCTTTGGAAAGAATATATACTAAAACATATTGGGAACGCACTGGTTGATATAGAAAGCAAAGATTAGCACACTTAAGGAATATTTCTCCTTCCCTCCATCCATTTTCTAACCTAACTCACGTGAAAGCTCATAACCAACCCTAGCTAGTGCCTGACCACTTAGCGCAAACTGCGCACAATGAGGAAATCTGCCGCAAGAACAGTGGCCATGTTCGTGATCGTTTAAGCTCAAGTGTGATGACGATACGCATCAAACGTGCGACTGCATGATAGATACGTATTTACTCCACAATGGAATTGCAAACAAAAGCAAGATAGTCACGAAGTACACGCGCCCTAAGCTTTATGCTAAAGCAAGACGTAACAACGAAGAAAAGGGTGTGTGTAATGAGTAGTTGAATGCAAAATTATCCCGAGCCCTTCGACCTTCGCTGAATTTCAAACCACAACCAATAGTGCCGAACATGCAAACAGAAAATAGACTCACTATTTGGATGCCAGATTTCCGATACGAACTTCATTTTTGGCGGTTTCTGCGGGTAATCCTTTGGAAAATCTAGTATGGCCTTGAAGAATCCACCCTCACTAAAACGTAGTTTTAAAAAGTATACAAAGATCGTGTCATGACATATCACATAGAAGAGTATTTTCGGCAGATCGAAATGACTTGAGGAGTAGCAGAGCAAAAATGGGACCAGAAGGAAAACAAATTAAACTAGCCGAAAAATTTAGAAGATAGAAAACAAAGAAAAGGCGCTTCGTAATTGTGCACAGAGAAATCGCGTCCTGGAGGATCATATAAGTCAAGACACTGCGTAAACGAATAATTTCGAAAAAAAGCAAAATAGAAAAATGATCAAATCATAGTGAATGGAATTCATGGTATTCATCCGAACTTACTAAAGTGTGTCTGGTGGTCCAATGACAAGAACTTCCCATTTGTAGATGTCATCGTCATTCACAAGTCCAGCAGAGAAGCCCTCTACAGGTAACCGTCTCAATTCTAAAACAATTGTTTATGAGAACACCGTGCCTTCGAAATCTCAATGCAAAATTTGAAATAGAATGTGCATCAAGATGGTAGTGACTTTTTTCAGTTTCTGATAACACAGGAAAAAGAATCAATTCCAAACGATGCTCAGTCCTTCTTGATATACCAAAGATATTGGTTGAAATTCGCACTTGTACTTTAACCCTTTGACGACCGCGCGCTCTAAACGTGTCTAGCGTGTGGGACCGCACGCCAGACATGCACGTGGCCCGTCGGCGGGCCATACGGTCCCAGGAGACCACTTTTTTGCTTAATTATAGCAACATTGACTAAACTGCAAACTTTCTACAGTAAATCATCTTACTAATCAACCATACATTTTAACGCAGACAGACTATCAGCGAAGTAATGAAGAAGACTAATGAAAAAGACCTCAGAATTCATAAGTGTTTTGATAGTACTATTGAAGTAGCAGTCACTAAAATCAATCTGTTTCCTGCCAAAACTATGCATCTGTTTTCTTGCACAAAACTTGCATTCGAAAAGTCGACTAGATTTTAATACAAATGCTTCGTCCAGCTTCTTTTTCTAGCTAGTGTGGTGCCGATAATGAGTGAACTTATTCATTAGACGGTTACTACCACACGCCACACGCTGACTTCCAATTTACTTCGATGGGAACCTTGGGTATGGTTAGGGTTTTTGAAGCCGCCTGCTGCGCACACCTTTATTTGTATTAAACCTACTTGACAATATTTTTCACAAGACCATAACAGTTGTCGTGCAGCCCGCAACGAATAGTCCTATCGACTCAATCATGCAAGGAATATTAGTAGTGTGGTAAAAATTGGCACAAGGACTACTGCTCCGATTTTTTCAAAACTACCACATGCGTTGCGTTCTTATTGGTATATGATGCTATTTTTGCTGATATTAGCAATAGAAGTGTGTTTGTTACTATTGTCTTAGGGTTTCTCCTTAGAAGAAAGCAATCAGTGGACCACTGTGTACATAGCGTTGTTAGGGCAATGTGTACATATTTAGTCAATTGAGAATTTCAAAAATGTCAAAACGGAGGAAATACAAGAAATCGGTTGCCATGGCCCGCCGGCGGGCCATACGGTCCCACACGACCGACTTGGTGTGGCCCGCCGGCGGGCCATACGGTCGTCAAAGGGTTAAATTCGATCAGCAAGCAACACAACGGAGGATGAAGAAAAACCTAAAACTGGTTTCCTGCACGCCTATGCTCATTATTGCAACAAGCCTTGGTTGAAATGAACGCTGATCTTGAAAATAAACAAAAATATGTTCACAGGAACAAGCTGAGTAAAACTTCTTCCCCAGAATTTAACCTGCAGGGAAAACTGAAGTGCATTACATTGAGATTACGCCCAACACTAACAAAAACGTCGAAGAATTCAGAAGTTAAGTGATTTCGCAAACAACTGATATGACTCTATAGCAGCACGATCTCAAAGTGTGTGTTGAGAGAGCATGGACAGACTGCATTGGGCGACAAATATTAACACTGCTCTTGACAGCCGTCACTGAAGCGGAAGAGCAGTTTGTATCCTTGCCGCTTCAAATTGATTAGCTGTTTATATTCTCTGATGAGGGCGTTCATGTCATCTGTCCAGTTATGGTTCCTTTAACCCTTTGACGACCGTGTGGCCCGCCGGTGGGCCACACTTTCGCTCGGTGGCGACACGTTTTTAGGAGTTTATTTTGGCATTTTTTCACTTTTCAAACTACACAAATACATTATCGAATTCGCGGAATAATGCGCTAATTATTAGGTCGGTCCATAAGTCTTGCAACAAACTACATTTAATGCTATAGAATTTTAGGGAGAACTCCTGAAAATCCGCAACATATTTCCTGACGTAGCATCAACCTTTGCAATTTCCAGGTCCAGATCGGTCCAGCTCGTTGTCTGCTTGCTTTATTATGGATATTACACCGATTTCGCGAGAGGGCTCTCGATGCCCTTAATTTTTACGAGTACTGCTTGGAATGTTCCGCAAGTCATGCTAGACCAAGGATTGGCCAGAAGATAGGCGAGGGCAAGCTCTCTCAAACCACAGTGCAACGGCGCTTCACTCTGCTCAGCGTTGACTTTTTTTATTTGAAAATAACCCACACTCCAACCACCCTGTGACTGACAATCACGATGCTATATCTGACGGCGTTGAAAAGGGATCTGGATAGAGTATCGATCATTTGCTAGAGCGATTCCGATGCGACAAGGAGACAGCACTGTGGCATCTCCAAAGACTTGTGAAGATCCGAAAATGTAGAGTTTGGTCCCCACGTGCCTTGAGCCCGATTCAGCTCCAAACACGATCTGACACCGTTATGTTCAAGTCGACTTACTAGGGATTCTACGATTGACCATCCATCACATTTGCCGAAGATGAGGAGTGGGTACAGTTTACTAACAAATGAACAAGCGGCGGTAGTCCAGCTCAAACGCTTCGGGAGATCTTATTGCTTAAGTTCAACCTCGTCCAAGTAGGGCCTTCTCGGATTTTTGGTGGAACACGGGAGGAGTTAAGCTCCCCCTCCGTGTAGATGTCGCAGTCAACGCGAAAGTCAACTATCCACAGCTCGAATGCAACGCTTTTAATACGAAAGAAAAACAAGGCAAAGTTTGCTTTTGTATGACACCGTTGAAAAACCTCTTGCTAAGAAAATTCAGGAAAATTTCGAGACTCTGGGACGGAGAGTTCTTCCGTATTCACGTTATAGCCCTGACCTCGAGGCAAATAATGCCCTTCTGCTCCCCTCTCCAAACCATCTCCTAGAGAAGAAAGCTCATCCTAACTATGATGATGTCAAAATCGACATCTGATCTTTCTTCGATCAGAATTCAGTAGAGTCCTACAAGGGAGGCATCGAGCAGCTACTAGTGTGTTGGCAATAGGTTGTAGATATTGATGGAGGGTAGCATGCCGGATGAATGGAACAAAAAGATAATGAAAATATTAAATTCAAAATTCGGCCAGTTTGTTGCAAGACTTATGTGAGACCGACCTAATAACCCTAAGTTAGGTGAAATTGTGGGAGGATGTTAATGGATCATTGGAATTAAAAAATTTAGAAGAAGTGAAGTGACGCTTTCATAACCGGCCGGTCGTCAACAGGTTAATTCGTTGTGATTAGTATATAGTTTATCATAATAGAATACGACTTCAAACGGGGGGTGTAGATAGGGACATGAATACACGGATGAACGCTTTCCGTCAACAAATGATGCTGAAAACCTCCAGCTTGTGAGATAAGATGTGTCAACGAACTTATGGGACGACTTTATACAAGGGGCAGTCGAAACATTCGAAAGCGACAGAAACTATAATCAAGGCAATTGCTCACCCGTATACACAATAAAACGTGATAAACAGAAGTATAACAGCCTGTTGAGAGCAAAGACGAGAGAAAGAAGGATGTGCAGCATCATGTTAGGTACACTCAAGCAATTTCTTATGATTGCCGTGAGCCGATGTCATACTTGGGTGAAAATCCTGTTTGGAGTGCGGAGAGAGGCACTTGTTGCCCTATAATCCGTAGTACTAGAAAACACTACCTTGCCAACACTATGGATAAAATAATAATTAAACGGCTCTTTCTAAGCGTACTTTCGGATGAAACAAGTGCATGCCCGCGTTCCACACATCGAGATCGTTGTGTGTGTGTGTGATGCACCACACCATATCCACTTTCTCTGCACAGGTCATCCACCCTGGAGCTCCTCCACCCTTAGGCTTGGGCACAGATGACCATTCTCCTGGTCCATGGCAGGCGGGAATGTGAAGCACCTCACGAGTTCTTTCACACTACACCGCTTCTTATCAGGAGTATATTTCAAAGGCGCTGGTCTCGATGTAGGTGTGGTCGTATATGACGCTCTCATCCTTATCTTGAGTATTGGAGAAACGATGGAGTGGTCCCCCTTCCGTAAACTGAAGTTTCGCCTCGTAGTCTTTGCGGTTCTAACTTGTTGATCAATGCGTATCTCTCCTAGGAAAAGCTAAGGATCTCAGAACGAGACGCAATATTTATGCCGCTCTCACAGAAAATCGCACATGCGACCAAAATTTTCATGTGTTACATTATCTGGTAGTCTAGAATGCAGATATGTATGTATGAACTTTAAGCTGATCAAATTATGCTGGGTGAGCCCTGTTTAGAGATGTCCCATCACGGCAAAAAACGCATTGATTGAAGAAAAATATGTATCGCGTGACTACCACGATCTTCTTTCACTCCACGGATCTCTTTCACTGAGGGTCCTCTCTCACTGAAAGATCTCGAGCCGGTTGGTGGCGAGGCTACGTGGCGCGACCCCAGGTGGCGGATAGGGGGTAAATCGCGGACCAAAAGCCACCATGTACTTGCCCTGAGACGCAGGTGGATTCAGGGGATGGACTCCCTGTTTCTTCTGTAGCAGTGCTGTGTTGATTCATACCAGCTGTCTCCACTCAGGCGCATCCATGCATGCTTGCGTGTGTGGTGCGCTCTGTGTGTGTG